AAAAAAAAAAAATCAACTTATTCCTTAGAAATACACATATGTTATTTACAGTTTGACTAACTTAGGATTCAAAGTCTACACAGTCTATACAACAGCATGGTTATATGTTTCTTAAATGTCTTCATCTGCAGATCTCTTTCTCTTTGCTTCCCTGAAACATTTTAGTTGAAGAAATCCTCCCTCCAGCCTAATTTAAGAGTGGTTTATTCAGTTCTGCTGCTCCTTCTCTCCTGGCCTTGTCACAAGGTGATATATGGAGGCGTGTGTAGTGCCTAAGGCATTCTGAACAGCCATTACCCACTGCTGGCTTTCCCAGGCTCTTCCCTCTTTATTTTATAACTCATTTGCCTGAACTTTTCAGGGAGACTCCAGATCTAGAATATTCACACAGAGTAGGGTGAAAACATCCTACCTTCCTAAACACAGAGTGACTGTGATGTCTGATTGAATTCTAACCCTGTGATACCAAGTCACCAGGTGGCAGGCAAATCTGAGAAAGGTAAATCTGTTTCTGTTAGTGGAGGAGAGGCAGGGTGGGGAGGAGAGAGGTTAGAGCAAAGGAAGTCTGAGGTCCTGAGATTCTATGTGTTGGGGGCAGGGGACAGAACAGGGGCCACCTACAAAAATACCCCCTGCTGAGGACACTCTGGAATCCGGAGGATAAAGTGGCTTTGACTATGAAATGCACCATGGAGACCTCATTGTCTGCTCCCAAGGAGGGAGAAGAGCCTACATAGATTCTTACTATGCAAGAATCTGCAGATAGAAATCATTTAACATCAGGACAGCAGGGAAGCTGTCCACCAGGGGCTTTGTTATTTGGCAACTCAGTCCCAGGCATGGTCAACAACAGGTGACTAAGGAAATAAACCATTCATTAAGTAAATAACCAGGAAGGCAACAGCCAACCCAGGAAGAACCTTCATCCTGCCTGTCACTTTCATGGAGGAGCTTAGTATTCTCAGAATCCCCCTGCTGAAGGGGATATCTCAACTCTGGGCTAGAATTTTCACTGCTCAGAAATACCTGCCTTTCCTGGAGTAAAAGAGAGGTTCTTCAAACTAGGTCTGGTCAGTGATTCTACAAATCAAAACATTTTACAAAGAACACCAAAATTAAAAAAAAAAGGGGGGGTCTAATACTGATTTTGCATAAGAATAACTAGTTAGGAAGAAATAAAACAGTGATCCTCACTGAGCTTCAGTTAACTCCATTTCCTGATCAGTTCTTTGGAACTGTACCTTAACCTGATTTTATTGTGTTTCTTTCCTTTTTCTTCCTCCTAATGCAATCAACCATTCCATTTAAGCCAAGGGGTTTCCCAACACTGATATTGATACTTTCTGCCCAAACAGTTTATATTGTTTAGTAATGATTAAGAGTTGTCTTCAGGATGGTCGATTTCATGTTAAGTGTTCTCACCATAACAAAAAAGTTTTTTTCATGCCCCACACCTCCACCAACACACACACACACACACACACACACACACACTCCAATAACTTACCCACATACGGTCCTGACCCTTCCCTCCCCACTCAAGACAAGTCCTCACCAAAAAGCCTTTGAGACAGACACACACACACTTCTTTTGACAGAGTACCACAGAGGAATCTTTGGGGGCTTTTTGGGCTAGGGATTGAACTCAGGGGGGCACTTTACCACTGAGCTACATCCCAGCTCATTTTCTTTTATTTTCAGACAGGGTTCCACTAAATTGCAAGACTGGCCTCAAACTTGGGATCCTCCTGCCTCAGCCTCCCCAGTTGAGTCATTGGGATTACAGGTGTGCACCTGTAATCTTTCTTTCTTATGTCAAAATAAATTAATATTGGGCTAGGGTGGTAGCTCACAGGTAGATCACTTGCCTGGCATGGGAGAGGACCTGGGTTCAAAATCATATTTATGGAAAACATCTACAATGAATTCATCTACAAGTCTTCCCCACAAATTAAGTTGTTTAAAAGTTCCCTTCCAAACAATGTTCAATTACAGGTCATCTATTAATGCTGTAAACATCCAGTTTGGTTCAGAATTGAAACACGGGTCACCCACTGTGTGTTATTTTTTTCCTCCACCATAAGTCTTTACCCTATTGCTTGTTACAATTGTTGACCTCCACAACTGCATACTGCTATGGTAACAATATATTATGGTTTACCTAATGACAATTCTACTGTTCAGCAATTAGGCTGTCTTCATTTCTCATTAATATGGATGATGCTATAGTAAAAATCCTCAAGGACAAAGCTTTTTTTCCTTTTCGACAATTTATTAGTTTTTTTTTTTTTTTTTTGTGGGGGGTGGTTACCAGGGATTGAACCCAGGGGCACACTATCACTGAGCTACATCCCCAGCCCTTTTTATTTTTATTTTGAAACAGGGTCTTGGCAAGTTGCTTAGGTTCTCTCTAAGTTGCGGAGGCTGGCTTTGAACTTGCCAGCCTTAGCCCCCAAAGCTGCTGTGATTACAGGTGTGTACCACCATTCCCAGCTAATAGTTCAGTTTTAAAAAAATGATTTCTCCAAAGGATGATGATTATATTTTGTAAGTTAATTAGCATTCTTCTCTTTTCTTCTTTTTCCTCCATGGCACTAGGGATTGAACCCAGGGCCTCACACATGGTAAGCAAGCGTTCAACCTCCGAGCTACATTACATCCCCAACCCATTTTAAAAATTTATATTTTTAAATTTTGACACAGGGTCTTGCTAACTTTCAATCCTTCTGCCTCAGCCTCCTGAGTATCTGGGATTATAGGCCAGTGCCAAGGCATCCAGCAAATCACATGTTCTTTAGTCTATGATTTAGTACATTTATTATACCATAATGATATTATGTTATTATATTATGATACTATATTATTACACATAATAATCTAATTAGTCTTGTGCCACATAGTAGATTAGTAGTTCCCAAACATTTGTATGTGTAAGGAAAAACACAAAATCAATTAAAAATGCAAATTCCAGACCTAGGATGTAGGCCAATAGTAGAGCACTTGGTTCATGTGAGAATCTGGGTTCTTATCCCCAGACTAGGATGGGGGTGGGAAAGGGATTTCAGAGGCTCACTCACAGTGTTGGTGGTCCCCAACTTCTTGCTACTCTAATGTGATTCAAAGACCATCAGCAGCAGCAGCATCCCCATAGAAATACAGAGTTTTGGGATAGGGATACAGGGTAGAGTGCTTACCAGCCATGTGCCAGGCCCTGGGTTCCCAATCCCCAGCACTACAAAACACACACACACACACAAACACATATGTGTAGTGGGCTCCAACCCTGAATGAGAACTGACAAATTTACAAGATCCCCAGGTGGTTCAAGTTTGAAAACTAAAGCCTAGCTCAATGTTTCTCCAACTTGCCTGCGACACACAATAAATACATTTCATACTTGACAACAACATGGATGTATCCCTTTGAAACAAAAACTTCACAACACAACACTTATTTCTTAAGTGATTCCCATCAATATTTTCTCTTCTAATTTGCTCCTATTCTTTTTTTTTTTTCCTTTAATGCTGGTCTTGATCACTAAATTGATTTCCTACCCCGCTAAGGTACTGCAACCCACCATTTAAAAAACACTGCTCTAAGCACTTTTTCTTTATCAGCATTGTTATCAGGGCAGAGATTAAACCCGACTCACCTAAGGCAAAAGTGGCATCCATTTACTTCACTTTTTTTTTTTTTTTTTTTATTCTCAGGAAGGGAAGAAAGGGTAGGGGAAAAAAAGATGCCCTGGGAGTGGAAGTAGCTTGGAAAAGAAGAAACAATTTCTTTCAGCTGAGTGATGACCCCCTTAGAGACACCTGCAATTTAGCCTTATGCATCACACCTGGGATGGAGAAGCTCTGCAAAGAAGGTTTAGGAAAAGAGCCCAGTTCTTCCACCAGAAGGTCCAGATGGGTGCTCACCTTCAGAAGGATTAGATAGCGACTTGCTCTGCTCAGTGACCTGAAGGCTCACAGGAATATCCAGAAATTTCTCATAGCAGTCTCCATACCACACAAGGAGCTCTTGGTTCTGGTAGATCTCCTTGCAGCTCTCATAAAATATCTGCCCTTGACACTGTATGACAACCAGGTTCTGCTCCTTCGGAAATCGGGCACAGTTGACATAGGTCATCCAATTCCCTGTACCTTTTCCATCTATAAAGTGGCTCAAATTACCACCTTCAAAGACCTAAATGAAATAAGACATGAAGTTTGGATTTGTACTTTTTTTTCTTTTTTTGCATAATCTATAAAATAAATGTAGTAAAAATTAATAATCAGGCCTAGGGGCATAGCTCAGTGGTAGAACACTGCCTCATGTGTATGAGGCCCTATGTTCAATCTCCAGTGCTACAAAGAATTGTGTTTATTACATGTATATAGTTTTCCTAGGCAAACAAAAAAACATCAAAGGCTGGGCATAGCAATATGAGCTTGAAGTCCCAGCTATCTGGGAGGCTAAGGCAGAAAGATCACTGGAGTTCAGGAGTTCAAGGCCAGCCTGAGTATCATAACAAGAACCTATCTCAGTAGATTTAACAATAATCCAAATCTTACACCAAATATACTTCTGTAAATCAGGGTTGGGTCTTGTTTTTGTGGTTCTAGGGACAATATCCAGGACCTTACATGTGATAGCAAGCACTCTATTACTGAGCTACATTCACATCCCTTTTTATTTTGAGATAAATTTTCACTCAGTTGCCCAGGTTGGCCTCAAACCTGTGATTCTCCTACCTTGGCCTCCTAATAAACTGGGATTACAGGTGTGAACCACCATGCCTAGCTACTTCAGATTTCTGTATCATTAAAAGAAATATATAAATCTGTGTAAGCCTAAGTAAATTTATTAGCTTAAGGATATCTCCATAGGGGACATACTTTTAAAAGATCCATACTTTCATTCTTCCTCCTTTTGCTTTCTCTCTTTTTTCCCCCCAGTATTTGGGATCCAACCCAATTGAATCCCCAACACTCTTATCTGTGCTAGGCAAGTACTCTACTACTGACTAATCTAACTCCTAATCCTATCACTTTTGTTTTTGTTTTGGGTACTGACGATTGAACCCAAGGCACTTTACCACTGAGCTACATCCCCAGCCCTTTTTATTTATTCATTTTTTAAATATTTTTTAGCTGTTAATGGACCTTTACTTTATTTATTTACACGTGGTGCTGGGAATCAAACCAAGTGCCTCACACATGCTAGGCAAGTACTCTACCACTGAGCCACCACCCCAGACCCCCAGCCCTTTTTATTTTTTGAGATACAGTCTCAAAATAAGTTGTCAAGGCTGGTCTTGAACTTTTGATTGTCCTGCCTCAGCTTCCCAGAGTCACTGGGATCCTATGCATATGCCACCACACCCAGTCCTAAGGCTTTGTTGATTCCCAAATTTTGTAAGCGTATGTTAATTTCATGAAGAGGGAAGGTAAACATTTAACCCCACCACTTAAAAACAGATTAATTTCTATCTAGTTTTCAACAATATGGATGGAGCCGTAATTCTTTTTCCACTGCTAGCACAGCAAGTTCACTTTTTTTTTTTTTTAGTGGAACATGGACACAATATCTTTGTTTTACTAATTTACTTATTTTATGTGGTGCTGAGGATGGAAACCCAGTGCCTCACATGTGCCAGGCAAGCCCGAGCCCCACCCCCAGCCCCATGAAAATGTTTAACATTTTAAGATACTTAGTAGTTCTTACAAATGGTTTTCTCCTGCATATTAACAAAGTGCAGTGTCACCAGCACGCCCCATATACTGTCACTAGCTTGAAGAGTATCAATTCATAAACCCTCTGCTAATTTTATAGGTAAACAATATCAATGTCTAAAATCCATTTTTATTGCCTTCAGCATAATTTAAGCACCCTACAATATTTAAAGCATTGAGTCTTTCTACAAATATAACAGAACACATATGAATTCTTTAAATAAAAATTTACATGTATATTCAATGGCTAATCTTCACAGATTAAAATGATCTGGGACACCAAGCAATTCATGCAGAGATGCCTCTGATGAAGTGAGCAGCTGCTGTCCCTTCTCTATGACTCTTGCAGAGGCAAAGGACAAGGTTTCTCCCTCCAAGTCTCTCTCCCCACTTGAAGCAGACACACCAGAAGATATTTACCTCCCACATCCGAGAATTGTCTCCGTGGGTCTTGAGTTCACTGGCATTGACCACTTTACCTTCAAAGGGCCCAAACCTGATTCCTTTGGCAATAAAGCTACTGCAGAACACACCAAAATGTGGAATTTCACCAAACATCATCTGCATGATGCAGAGACCTAGGAGAAACCCAAGGCAGGAAAAAAATGAATAAGGAAAGTGATCCATATTAGTTGCGAGAAAGAAATCCAAGCAAGGACGATTCCCACCTTCTGGAAGCTGAATGGAGTCTTTATCCAGAACTTGAGGAATATGATCAGACCCTAGGAAAAAGGGAGGGTTAAAAAAATTTTTCAATTAAAAATATCTTGAAAATGCTTTTATAATTTCCCTTCTTACTCCTTAGAGGAAATCATCACTGAGTTTGATGTTTATCTATTCCTTATTATTTTTTCCTTCTTCTTTACCATGAGCTTTTCATACATAATCTCTCATCTGAGACCCAAAGCAATCCTCCATGGAAGTAATTAATTCCATTTTGCAAACTTGAGTCAGAATTCTTTTTTTGTGGTGTTAGGAATTGAACCCAGGACCTTGTGCATCCAAGGCAAGCGCTCTACCAACTGAGCTATATCCCCAGCCTTGGAGACAATTCTTTCTCTCTCTCTCTTTTTTAATTTTTTTTTGATGCTGATGAATCTTTATTTCACTTATTTATTTATATGCAGTGCTGAGGATCGAACCCAGCCTCACACAAGCTAGGTAAGTGCTCTACCACTGAGCCGCAACCCCAGCCCGGAGATAATTCTTAATTAAGGTCAAGGTAGATCGCTAGACTGGCACCAAGTATGCAGAACTTGAGGCTGCAGTACAGAAACTTGCACGCCCCCAAGGCTTCTGCATGAACCATTTCTTTCCTGGTCCTCAGCTTTTACTAAAACCAACCTTAGGGATTATGCAATTAAGTAGAGCCTAACACCCCCCACTCCGCTGACTCTCAACCTATTGGCTCCCACCCTGTTCCCATACAGTCCAACTCCTGATGGTGTGAATTCCCTTTACCAGAACTGTCTGCGGGGATGAGTAAGTCGGAAATCGCATAGTGGAAGCGGGCTGGCTGTTCCAGGCTGGGAGTAACCCCATAAAGAACGAAGTGTAGGTCCTCCTTCGTGAAGTGGAAACAAGGAGGAGGAGGTGATTTCCCTTCTGGGTCTAGCTGTTTGGGACCATCCTCAAATCTCCTGCTGGGGGACCGAGATGCTAACTGGGAGGTCTTCTGCCCCTGCGATAACAAGGAGGCCTCCTTAGGAAGCGGCGGAATTGAAGTATCAGGTCCACAACCCTGGCCACTGTCGCTGGGGCCACCAACGGGGACCAAATCTTCGTTGCTGGCACTGGAGTACTCTTGGCTACTCGGAAAGTGTGGCACCTCCCTGGGGAGGTGAGGAATTGGGTACCACAGTGACATCTTGCTGTACCAAGTCAGATCATAGAGTGGCTCCCTCTGTAGAGCCAGATCCGAGGTCAACAAGGGAGATGCCATCGGGAGGGGGAAAGGAGTCAGCCCCTGGGATGCAGACACCGCTGCCTCCAGACGCCCTAGCGGCTGGAAATCCTCCTCGGTGCTAGACAAGGCACTCCTGTAGTGCCCATAGGCAGAAAAAGGCGGGTAGTAAGCAGCCAGTTGTTGGGGGGTGCTCTGGAACCTCTCGAGTGGGTAGCACACCTTGTCTTGGAGCTCGGCTTCACCTGGCGCCCACAGAGCCATTGCGGGCAACGCTGTGCGAGTCCGCGGGACAGCAAACGCGTCCCTGGCGGTGCTCCTGCCCGCCCGGTTTCTTCCACCCAAGTCTACCCCAGGTCGAAGTTAACTGGATAAACTTCCCAATTCGATCCCGCCAGACCTATCAAATAAAAACAAATACAAAAATCACCAAACGAAAATTGGCCGGGATCCCGCCCGACTCCAGGTTTTTGGGTACTATCCTCTTGGCGTTTCCTCTCCAAACGCACCTGGACCAAGCCCTGTTGGATTCCAACACCCCTCTCCGCATTCGACCCCCCAACCCGTTTCCGGCAAACTTGTTTAAATTTCTGTTCCCTCCTTCTTCCCTGTTCAACAAAACTCTTAAGAGGACCAGTCTGAGCCACCGGACCTTTCCACCAGCGGAGCGGGTACCGGGAGCCTAGCGCAGAACCGTGCTAGGGCTTCAGAACAGGCGGTCACTCCAGGCACGCTCGGGTCCCTAGCAGGGAAAGAAGAGCCAAGGGTCCGGAGTCGAACCGTATAGACAAGAGTTCCAAGAAAGTCCGAGGAATATGTGCCGGGCTGCAAGCCCCGCGGTATAACCCGAAGCACTGGGTGTCCGGGCTGCATGCAGAGGAGCTGAGCACCAGCTTCGGCTTCCTGGGGGGTTCGCAGCCAGCCTCTTGTTTTTCACGCCGGCGGAGTCCCTCCACATCTCCCAGTTCCCTCGGAAACTCCAGTCATCCCAACCTAGGGTTTAAGGGGAACCAGGTCGCCTCTCGGGAGCCAGCGAGGTCCAGGCTCAGACCAGAGGGCAAAGAAGCCCGTCCCCGCGCTGCCTCCGGGGTCCCCGCCGGGAAAAGAACTGTGTTTCAATGGAAGGGCAGCAAGTTCACCAAGGCTGAGGAATCTGAAGCCCCTTCGGGGCTGGCGGGTCTTCAGGACAAGATCAATGAGCCCAATAAAGAAGCCAACCAGGGTCGTGACTCAGAAATTAAAGAACACCGGGTCAGGAGAAGAGGTCAGCCGACACACGCATCTCCCGGTCTCCTCCCCAGCCTCCTCCCTGCCACGTCCGACCCCAAGGATCTGGAACTTGGGGGTCGAAA